ATGGGGTGTTGACTTCACCATCCTCCTTTAGCTCGTTAAATAAACTTTTTTTGACCACTTTCGGCAAAAGTCCTGCCATCCAAACATTTTCCTACCTACTTTCAAGAAGTAAACTTTCCATTTTTGTTTCTCAAACAGCCAATTCCGCTGGAAACAATAGAGGTACACGGCAATTTTGAAACGCTCATGGCGGCCATGTTTGTTTACAACTCGGCCGCGCATCTGAACGCGCGCGCCATCGCTGATTTCTCTCGCGAGTAATTTGCTTGCGTGTATCTTGGAAGTCATTCTCCGCGCGGTCGAAAAAACCCTTTCGAGCCTCCTTAAGACAACTTCCTAGTTCTCGTATAGCTAGTTCTTGCGCGGTCATGAAATATCGTCTCTTGTATCCAGCATAATTTAATGAGAGTATTTTATCTAAAGTGTGTAAGAATGTATTGTTTCACCTCAATTTTTACTCGTAAATAGACATTGGCTTTCCTGACATCTTAAATTTTCATTTAGAACCCAACCGCCCACCTGAGGCTGTGTCAGCTAGTGCAGTTTCTTCTAAGAATATCTCCGTTTCGTGGGATCCTGTCCTTTTCGATGATCGAAATGGAATTATCAAAGGATATAAAGTAAATTATCAAACCTTACCAAGTGGTCACGTGATCTCCATGTTCCGCAATATCACCAATGAAGATCAGAATGAGAACCAAACAGTGATTTTAGATAATCTGAATGAGTTCACAAACTACAGCATCAGGGTGTTGGCATTTACTGTAATTGGAAATGGACAAGAAAGTGGTCCCCGGGTTGTGGAGACACTGGAAGACAGTAAGTTTAACTTTTCTCATGCATTATTAATGGGTGAAAGGAAGAATATCCCAAAAAGAGATGAATGATGTAAACGAGGTAGGACGCATCTAGTGTTCCACGAGACTATTGGTTTTTAAAATGTAAAAATTAGCCCTCGTGCAGAGGTCGCCTATTTCCTTGGTTGCACGCGGAAAAGGGACGTCCCTTTTTATCATCTCTGACGTTCAAAATTCATGCTTAAATACGTCTCACATTGAGCAAATGTGCTTTAACTTTTCATTAAGAGTATTATGGTTAATGCTCACCTGAGACTGTGTCAGCTACTGCTGCAACTTCTAAGAGTGTCTCCGTTTCATGGGATCCTGTCCTTTTTGATGATCGAAACGGAGGCACTGAACGACAGCAAGTCCCGGTTCCTTAAAGGACCCGTAAAGCTGTTCTGTTTCCTTCTAGATCGTGGTTTCTAAAGTTTTTAAAATTAGACAATAAATTCCTGAGCTAAAGAAACAAACCGGACTAACAAGGGTGACTAAAAAAATCTGCTTCTCGATTTTGATTATAAAATATGACTTTGAAACGGACCGCTAACGTCGCATGTGAGTTGGGTTGATTGCTGGCTTTTGCCCCTGCTCCGAGGGTTATTTCTCCAGCTCCTTTGATTTCCCTATTTCCATAGAAACCTACATTTCAAATTCTAATTCGACCTGGAAACAGTGGACAAGAAGAGCCACCTGGTGAAATGTCCTTTGCTAAATTGCCATTCATGTTCAATGATTGATAGTTCGAAAAGTTGAATTGAGGTGTGAGAGTTCCTTGCAAAATGTTCAAGCCAAGTTTAAATCAATCGTAAGCCTTGGAAAGTTACCAATCATCCAAATCTCTAAACCTTCGCCATCTTAACCATCATTTCACCTTCCTTCATGATAGTCCTCAAAAGGGATTCCGCACGGTGTCTAGATATTATCTGAAGGTTTCCCTCTCCTTAATTAAAATTTAATGAACTCAAATCTCCTCTAGCATTTTTTGAGGTATTTTTCGACATTTCTCCTCTTCATTTATTTCAGAACCCAGTAGTGCCCCTAGAAATTTGAGTTTAGTCAACACAACTTCAACAAGCATATTTGTCGAGTGGGATGCGGTTTTGCTTGATGAACAGAATGGCATCATTATTTCTTATAACGTCAGCTATCAGGCGATCCATGAAAATGGATCTGGCGGACGTATCAACTCTACATTAGTTAACGCTCCTAAAATGTTCGTAAACTTGACGGGCCTAACTAAAGATATGTACTACAACATCAGTGTCTTAGCCTCGACAAGGGTGGGCGACGGGATTTACAGCAGCCCAGAGAAATTAAGAACAAACGAAGACAGTAAGTCTTTATTTACTATTATGCGACCTTTAAAAGTACACCCATTATGATAAATTTCTGTCATTAAATTATCAACTGCGAATATTGTATTTCTAGTGTTCTGAATGGCTCATTCAACCCCGGTTATCTGGTTATATTCAGAGTCACCTAACATGGAGAAGAAATGTGCTAACTGTTGCGGAGCTGGAAAACGTTTCAAATATCCAAAAGTTGGATATTTGAGTTGAACACAAGATTAGCAATAGATAACTCGGCATTACGCCCCTCGCTTTTCGCGCGTTTCCTTATTTCTTACACGCCTCTTTCACCGAAAACAGAAAATCTGATTTGTACGGTTTATCCTTTTTTCCATTTTTTTATCTTACTTTTTGTTCTGTTTTCAAAGTAGGAGGATTGAAATATAAATACTCTACCAAATGTGACAATCCTCTATACCAAAGTCTTAATGAACTTATCGCCCGATTTTATGACGGTATGTTTTCTGTGTAGCTCCTATCTCTTTACAGATTGGCGTTTAGGTAGAGTTGGGATTGGACGAGAGAACATGCCTACTCAGTTATATTTCTATTTCTTGCTTTCACTTCAAGTAAATTTAGAATCAATAGATTATTGAAATTTTAAAATCGTATTCCTTGTTTCCTTCTCTTCACCTAGGGCCTAGTGGTCCTCCGCAGAGGGTAGAAGGTCAGTTTAATAATTCAACCAGCATCAGTGTTACATGGGATGATGTGCCTGAAGACCAGCAACATGGTGACATTATCAGCTATACTGTCATGTACAGAAAGTTAACAGAAGAAAATTTCAAGAAAATAAAAGTTACTTCAAAATCTGCTGAATTGGTGGAACTTGAAAAGTATACAATGTACCGAATAGAGGTCCTAGCTACTACCAGAGTTGGAAATGGGCCACTAAGTGAACCCATTATGCAGAGAACAGACGAGGACAGTGAGTAAAAATCACTTTGATTGTTTTTTTTTTTTTTTTTTTCTATCCTTGTGGTTGGCAGAGTTATATACTGAAATGTAGGACACTTTGCAAAAAGAGGGTGAACTGCAACAAAATTTTATTTCACGCGTCCCTCGTCTTCTGTGAAATCATATGAATTTCATTTTTCATTCGTAAAAGGTCAACTTCATGGACGCTCTCAGCTACGTTGTGGAACATTTGCCGTGTCATTCAAAACTAAAAATGATAAGCAATGATTAACCTTAACTTGTTTCAGAACCAGAGAAACCTCCTCAATCAGTTAATGTAACGACAAAGGACAGCAGTAGTATCGAGGTAGAATGGGGGCCGGTTCCTGAAAAGTTTAGGCATGGTATCATTACGAAGTACATCATACTCTACAACTATTCCAGCGAAGGAAAGCCATCAGAACAGAACGAGCCGAGAGATGCACTGAAAACAGTTGTTAGAGGACTCAAGCAATCTACTAAATATACAATCCAAATTTTGGCTGCAACTGTGAAGGGAAGGGGTCCACCAAGTGACCCTAAATTTGCTACAACCGAAGGTGAGGAATTTAGCTGGTTCAAGTGGTAAATGTAAGCGTAAACCTGTCAAGTTACAGTAACATTAAAACAATGAAACGAATTATTGATGTAGAAGTAATCATCTACCTAGTAAGTTGGTCATTAGCCATTCAAGGCGGTTGCGAGGCAGCAATTTTCTTCAGAAACGAATAAAAGACGGCACTACACTATGAAATCAAAACCCATGAAAGTCTTGTGAATTTATTCATGGGAAATTCACAGATTTTTCATAGGATTTTCGTGGTTAAATCAATGGCTTTTTCGTGGTCTCAGTGCCCTGAAAGACATGAAAAATCCCATAAAAAACTGTGAAAATTTGCATATTCGCGACTCATGAAACATTGTATAAAGTGACCTAAAAGCCATGAAATGCCCATGAAAATGGCGTTTCATAACCTTTTCAAAGGTACTGAGAAACCCATGAAATACCCATGAAAATGGTATTTCATGGCCTTTTCAAAGGTACTGAAAAACCCATAAATTTCATGTCAAAAAATTCATGGTGTTAAAATTTACTAGGTTTTAATGGGTTGTAGGAAATCATGACCCATGAATATCCTGTGAATATGTAAAAAATTCATTGACCATGAAAATTTTCCCTGAATTTTCATGGCCTCTCCATGGCATTTTCATGTCTGCATTCATGTGTGCATTCATGTGTGCATTCAAATGTAAGCTGTCAAGCAACATTTAACTTTTATGTTATACTGTTTGTTTTTGTTGATTCTGCAAACTGAAATTCAAAGATTTCTACTCAATTTTCACTTAACACTCGGGTTGAAGGGCTTAATTACAGTTGAATAAATAATTTTGGAATTACAATCTTGTTGTAACTAACAGTAAATTGTAATGAAGTTATCCTTAACTGTAGACTAAACAGCTGTTTGCCTTTTTTTGCTAGGCTCTCAGCTTGTCAAACGTGACTAAAATAAGCCTGAAACCTTCAGCTTATTGATAGATTTATTTCATCGTAAAGCGTAATCTTAAGAAATTGTGTCATGCAAGTGACCGATTCGATTCTCAGTTTTGATCAAGTACCGAATATCACAATTTGTACTCACCACAAACTTTCAAATTAAATCGAAGCTTTATAAATGGCCGTTTGACCCTTGTACGGCCAATCAATATGAGAACTGTTGTCCCTTCTTCTAACTCCACGGCGCCAACGACTTGCTCTCCATTTGTACCACTCACGCTGTTCTCGTTTTCCCACTGAACAACAGTAAAGCCCATCTTTAGAGACGTTGTATTAATTAAGCAAAACACGAGCACGAGCGATCAACCGATGAAAAGTTCCGTTCAAAGCTGAGTGCCAAATGGAATTTTCTTTGTTTCCGATCACGAGTGTGATCATGTGGATATTTTGGGAATTTTCATTGGCTAATAAATAGAATCCGCTGGCTTGCCCGATTGCAGTCTCGATAGAAGCGTGCAAAAGTTGACGACTTCTTCGACCGGTATTCTGCGTTTGGACGATGCTTAACCTTGGATCCATGTTTAGAAGATGTTATGAATAATAATGTGAACTCACTCTATGTAGAAGTCATCGAGAAGAATCGAACGTACTACAAGTAAACGATTTATGGCCTAAAGTTATCGAGGATACAAAGACTCGAAACCCTGACGTGAGTCCTTGGCTTCTCTAAACTAGCAGCGTTGCCAAAAGAGCCAGGTGCGTCTCAACGAAGAAACATTGTACAAGCGAAGGAAGCGACTATGGTGCGTTGGAATTCTCGCCTACGAATGGATGTGCACATTCCAAAGCGTTCCCTTGTTTATGGTTATGTTTATGTCTTATGATTTTGGCACATCTGTGGACATGAGACATTTTGCATCGATTATTTTACGATTTTGGAATCGATTATTTTACGATTATGGAATCCAAGAGGCCTTTGAGGTTAGAAAACAAATCTATTATTGACACTTAGCAATTAACACAACTGACTGCTAGTTTATGTTAAGAATTACCAAAACTTAGTCTGAATAAAAAATTTTATGATAAACCTATATATACATGCATGTATGTTTATATCTTGGTACATTTTGTATATCATTCCTTTTATTGAACCAACGTTTTTTGCCTCTAAGATTACTCCTTGTCTTAAAATCTTTACATTCAAGATATTGAGAATTTCTTGGAATGCTCTGATTGCCATTCATGGGGCATGAAATTAAATCTGGTGACTTTCTGAGGAAACTATTAGGTCATGAAAGTAGGCTTTTAAAGAAATTAATGGGTCAGGGAATTCATTCTGGTGACTCTCAGGGGAAATTAATGGGTCGGGAAAGTAGACTACACCTTTTGCTGATCATTTAGGCGAAAAAGATATTCATTTTCGCGAAGTGTAGAACCAATAAGGCGAATATACATTCTATAACACCAAGAAGCACTTCATTAACGCCACGGAACATTCAAGAGCGCAATTTGCATGTTTATAAACGATCAATAGTGTCAACGAACAAACAAGAGCATCTATCGACAATCAAGGACGCCAAGTGGACATTTAAACGCCCGCAATTGACAAACAGTAACACCGAAAGAAAATCATTAACATCTTGTGACAATCGTAAG